GCCTCTGCAAGGGATGCAGCCGAGGCGCGGGCGAAGCCCTCGGCGGGCGCTTGCGCCGCGTGTCAGGCCGCGTTGCAGCGGCGGCGGCGGCCTCCGCAGGCGCGCTCGCCAGAAGCCGCAGCTTGCAGCGCCGGACGGGCGGCCAGCTCCCGGTCCCGCCAGGAGCCTGGCCCAGGTGCACCCGCGCCGCCGCAGAGGCCCGCCTCCAGCTCGTCCAGGCGCCGTTCCCTGGCCGCTCGGCGCGCCGCAGTGGGCTCTCTCGAGGGACTTTCATGCTGCCTGAGAGCCTTGGGCCGCCAAGGCTCTGGCAGCCATCCGCAGCCATCTCCACTCGCCGCCAGCACCGCCGCCGCGCGCCGAAACGCAGGAACAAAAAGCTTGAGCCAACATGGCTACGGAGGTGGAGGAGGAGGACGGGGAGGAGGAGGAGGAGGAGGAGGAGGAGGAGGAGGAGAAAGAGGAGGATAATCAGGAGGAGGAGGAGGAGGACGTCCACATCCTCCCTTCTCCCCCGTCATATCTACCTATGGTAGTGGTGGTGGAAAATTTGCCCATCAGGATTGGGAGCAGGGAGCGCACCACCACCACCACCTGGGGGGATTCAGGATGAGCCGGTGTGCGGGATCCGCGAGAGCGCCCGATCCTCCAGACGATGGTGGTGGTGGTTGTGGTGGTGGTGGTGGTGTGTTTCCTTTTCCTTAGAGGGGGGGCATGTCAGTGCTCGTTTCGATTCCTCCGATTCGATTTCGATCTGATTTCGATGGCAGTCGAATCCGATTCGATTCTACTTCGGATTCCGAGCTGGATTCAGATTTTTCAATGGATGCCTACTAGCCTTCCGATTTCCGCCGATTCGACTTCTCAGACTCGGCTGCCGATTTCCGCCGATCTGGCTCATTTCGATCGCCGATCTAATCATGGAAAGCTGGCCCTGGGGAACGGGTCGGGACGTGTTGGGACCCCGCATGGGAGAAAGCAATACGTCGGATCTCTTGGGGAGGGCCGGACGTTTTCGTCGGTTCTCGGTGGTTGTCCAGCCTCGAGATCCCTTCCAGCGGCTGCGCCTCGCCGAGAGCGTTCCAGGGTACCCGAATCGTACCGAACGGCCGCCGGAGAATCCGACTTATGACCCGAAGGCCAATGGGCCACGATAGGGGGGAAAAGGCTCGTGGGGGGCTGTATCGACCCCCAATCGCCCATGCATCGTCGATGGGGGTCTGGCAGGCCACCCTGCCTAGGAGCATCCAGTTTTGCCATCGGGTGCTATCGGCGATGCATTCATGGTTCCACGTCGATGTTTCCCCACCTCAGCGTGTGAGGAGAGACACCGATACCGCTGCCCATCCCTCGTCGCCACTGCAGGATTCGCCCCTGCATCCTGGTCAGAACGCATCCTGGGAGCGATCCGGGAGTAGCGGTATCGCTATCTTGTTTCTCTCACAGCGAGGGGATGACGCCAGGGGGGTGGCATTCGAAGAAGGCTGGGGAGCTTCTGAGAAAGCAGGAGGCTTCTTCAAAAGCCCTTCCTGGTTTGAAACAGGTGTTCGGATGCCTTCTAGCAAGCCCCCCGCCTTCTTAGAAGGCCGGCCCCCCGTTACATCACCCCCTTGTGCGCGCCGCCAAGGATAATTTCGCCATGAAGCAGACGGGGTCCAGAGTCCAGAGCCCAGAGGGGGAGGGGTCGTGAAGTTTTTCTCCCACGTGATCATCAACAGGCAGCTCTGGTTGAACTGGTGGTGGGGGAAAGCCCCTGCGTTCGGGGCCCGCTGTTTTCAGGACCACGATCTTTCATGTCAGGCTCCTTGTTTTCAGAACCTTGTTCCTCATGCCGAAAATTGAGGAATAGAGAGGAAGGAGTAGCGGAGGAGAAGGAGGAGAGGACGAGGGAGACAATACCTCGATACCGCTACCTGTCACTCGTCGCCATGGCTGGAGTCGCCTCGGAATCTTGGTCAACACGCACCCTGGAAGAGGTCCGTGGAGTAGCGGCAACGGTGTCGTTATACTCCCTCAGGGGTGGAGGCAGAGGGAAGGAAGGGGGGAATGGGGAGGTGGAGGAGGAGGAGGAGGAGGAGGCGGAGGAGGAGGAGGAGGAGGACAAAGAGGAGGAGGAGGCGGAGGAGGAGGAGAAGGAGAAGAGCAGGAGAAGGGAGGAGGAGAGGAGGAGGAATGATGGCGAGACAGAGGCGGAGGAAGACGGGAGTTGGCGGTGGTGGACGGGAGGAGGATGCAGGAACGGGGGGAGCGAGGGTGGGACAGAAGGAGAGGAGGGAGGGAGGACGAGGAAGAGGCAGAGGAAGAGAAGGAGGAAAAGCAGCAGCAGGAGGAAAAGCTGCACAGTGAGCAGGGAGCAAAAAGCGGAGGAGGAGGTAGAGGAGGAGGAGGAGCAAGAAGAGGAGGAGGAGGAGGATTGAGAGGATCAGCAACGTGAGGATCATGAGGAGGAGGAACAGCACACGGAGCAGAAAGCAGAGGAGGAAGAGGAGCAGGAGGAGGAAGATGAGGAGGAGGAGGAGGAGGGGGAGGAGGGGGAGGAGGAGGAGGAGGAGGAGGAGGAATCTTTCGAGTGTTCCCGCCATCACGTACCGATGGCTTCCATGATTTCGGAGACAGGCGCGGGAGGCAGGACGATCGGGTCGCGGGCACGGAGAGGGGAAGCGATGATGATGATGATTATGATGATGATGATGATGATGATGATGATGATGATGATGATGATGATGATGATGGTGATGGTGATGGTGATGGTGATGGTGATGGTGATGGTGATGGTGATGGTGATGATGATGATGGTGATGCTGCTGATGCTGATGCTGATGCTGATGCTGATGCTGATGATGATGATGATGTCGATGATGATGATGCTGATGATGATGATGATGATCATGGTGATGCTGCTGATGATGATGATGCGGATGCTGATGATGATGCTGATGTTGATGCTGATGCTGGTGATGGTGATGATCATGATCATGATCATGATGATGTTGATGATGATGATGGTGATGATGATCATGATGATCATGATGATCATGATGATCATGATGATCATGATCATGCTGATGATGATACTGATGATGATGATGATGATGTTTATGCTGATTATGATGACGGTACTGATGAAGGCGGAGAAGGAGGATGTTGTTGATGTTGATGCTGATGTTGATAACGATGACGATGGCGATGATGATAATGCTGCTGATGACGATGATGATTCTGCTGATGATGATGATGATGATGATGATGGGTATGATTATGATTCTGATTATGATTATGATGGTGATTATGACGATGGGGAAGAGGATGAGGAGGATGAGGAGGAGCACGAGGTGTTTCACCTTTAACCTCTGCCTGACCCTTCTTGGCACCAGGGCCACTGTGAGGGGAGAACGCAAGCGTCACTTTCCTTGTTTCTCTCCCGAGGGCGACGGCCCTTCAGGACATGCTTCCATGCGTTGCACCCTGCTCCTGCTTCCTCGACTTCGGAGCTGGGCTGGGCCAATGTCTTCACCCTGCCGTTGCGGGGAATGGATACCGAGGGAGAGGGGGGTGAGGAGGAGGGGGAGTCGACGCAGTCGGGGGACGATTGAGGCTGATGATGAGGAGGGATGAGCAAAGGAGGAGGACGAGGAGGGGGCCCGAGCGTGTGTTCTTCTCTCGCCCGGCGGGGCCAGAGCACGTTAGCCATCCGGCCCACGCAGGGACTGTCGGGCGTTTGCACAGAGACTTTGGGCGCAGTAAGCGTCTCTCTGGAGCTCACACCCATCATGGGTGTGAGCTCCCCGTGTCCACCTCCGCTCCCTGGCTTGAAGGTTTCGGTGGTTGTCTCGCCTCGCGACCATGGTTCTACCATCTTGAGCCGGTTCGAGACTCGTGATGCAGCAGCCACACGCAGTACGAGGTGATTTGTGGATCATCTCATTGTGTGAGGATCGTCCCGACCTCATCTTGCCAGCGCGGTTTTTCGAGGCCCACGTACGCCCAGAGGGCATGTGGGATTCGTGGCCGAGGCTCGCCGTCGCCAGAAAAGCCCCTTCATTCCGCCGTAGTCAGCGTTGCAGCATGACGACTCCACGTTCGCGAGGTGGCGCCAGATGCCGCGCAGCCCGAAGATAGAGGACATCTATCCCCACCTGGGGAACAGTGGGGCGGTCAGCGGGGGCAACCAAGGCGTTCTCGGTGGGGATGGGGAGCAGGTCTGACGGTGCTGAGTGAAGACAGGTCTTGTTGTTTTCTGTTCTCGGTCTTGTTGTGGTTGTTTCTGGGCTGCGGAATGCCGAGACCTTCGCGACAGGATCCGAGGTCGTCGAAGATCGTTCCCACGACAGGCGCAGTGTCGTCGTCGTCGTCAGCGTTCGGGTTTGTTTATTCGCTCGAATTCAGCATGCGATGCGGTTGAGCGTGCCGTGGTTCGAAGTTAGATGAAAGCATGCCGTTCGCACAAGGGTCTGGCCTCATCCTGGCTCTCCCTCGCCTACCCGTCCTTTCGCCTTTCTGCTCCGCCTTTTCCTGAGCCTCCGCATCCTTCCCCTCCCCCGCTCCCTCCCCTCCCTCCCTCTGTTTTTTTGTTGTTTCTCTCTCTCTCTCTCTCTCACTCGTCGTTGTGTGTATCTCTGTATAGACATATGCATGGCCACACGCGCATGTGTATAGTGAATTGGTGGGCATGTGAATCACTCACCTCTACCTATATACCTGCATATTGTTGCGCTGTATTTGCTCCGTATCCCTCTCCCACCCTCCCCCTCTCTCTCTCTCTCGCTGCCTCGCTTACTTGCTTCGTCTCTCGTCTTCTCTCTTTCTATCTCCCTACCGCTCTATCTGTATATTGCTCTTTCTCTCTCTCCATAGCTATGCTTATCGATTGATGCCTATATGTTCTACCTCTTCCCTCCCCCTTCTCCATCGCCCTCTCCATTGCCGCCAGCTTCCAGTCCTCCTTGCCCACTCTGCCGTGGATCCTACTATCACTCCCTCTCCCCTCCCACCGCGCTGGTCAGGCGGACTTCGCGTTCTGCCCCTACTGTGGCCAGAAGGCACGCTCGCCATCTCTCGCCAGGAACTTAGATGTGGCTCCTCTTTTCCTCCTGCATCCCTCATCCTCCTGTTTCTTGTTTCCCTCTCATCCATCTCTCCTTTCTCTTCTATCTGTTCGTCCATCCTCCATCTATCCTCATCCATCCTGTGTCCATCATCCCTCAGTCCTCTCTCCGCCCTCCCTCCTCATCCATCCCTCCTCCCATCACCCTCCCCCATTCCCCCCCTGCCCTTATCATCCTCCTCTTCCTCGTCCTCCCTCCTTGTTCCCCTTCCCCTGTCCTCCCTTTACCTCCCTCAGGCTTCCTCCCACCTTTCGGCCCTCCTCCCTCCCTCCCTTCGGCTCCTCCCGACTCCTCTCCCCACATACTCTTGCCGCAAGGGGAGGCGAGGCGAACTGGCGTGTTTGTTGCAGAAGGTCGAGCCGTCTTCGTCGATGCCCATGCCGTCGAGCCGTCGATTCTGCTCGACCCTTCCTGTCGGCCGATGGGGCGATGTCCGACCTGCAGAGTCTGCCGCGTTCCTTCACGTGCGCGTTGCCACGACTGTCGCCTCTGCATCCGCCAGGCGCGTCAGCTGTCCCACAGGGGTTGCCTGCCCCCGGCGGGATCTAAGCCAGGTGCTCACTGTCTCGTCGCCACTGATTCGTCGTCCGAAGCCCCGCTGCGAGCAGAGGCGAGGGGGGAGCGGAGGGCAGAGGCGTGGGGGAGAGGGCGGAGGGAGGAGGGGGAGGCCCGGCGCGCGGCAGAGCCTCTGCAGCGCCGCCGCGGCTTGACCGTATGGCCGGCGAGGTGCAGGAGGGGCGCAGTGATGGGCCAGGAGCGGAACTTCTTTCGTCGGCGGCGGGGCCGAGGCCCGTTTGGTCCAGCGCGCGGCTCCTCGGGGCAACCGGAAGGCGAGGTGTCCGGCGTGCAAGAGGAAGGCAGAAGACGAGGGCGGCCGCGCGGGCGCCAAAGGCGGAACCAGGGAGACTCAGGAGGGAAAAAAACACACAGACACAATTAATCGTCGACTCCCAGGAAAATATGGGAAGTGGTGGGGAAGACAGAAACCCAGAAAATATGAGAAAATATGGGGAATATTTTTATTTGTGTGTATTTATTTGTGTGTCCTGGGGCCCCTTCAGAGACGACTGCCCTTCCTCACCACCCGCTCCCCTGGAGGCGCGGAGCAAGAGAGGCACGACACCCTGGCGGCAGACGGCCCCAGAGAGCCCTGCGTGCGCAGCGACGCGTAGGGGGGGCCACGATGGGCCGCCCACTGTTGGGGGGGGCCGCGGAGGGAGGCCTCGGTGGGGGGCGGCGAAGGGCCACCGATGTCGGGGGCCCGGGCGCCCTCACCAGGCGGTAGACGAAGCACAGGAGAGAGGGAGAGAGAGAGAGAGAGAGAGAACCCCACAGTCTGGCGGTTCTCGGGTGGGGCTCGCTTCCTCCGCCCCCTCCGTCGGCCGCGTCCTCCTCCTGCTCCCCTTCTTCCACGGCGGCACAATCTGCCCTGACGGCACCCCCGTTTAGGCCTGTCCGCCAGCGCAGACATCCCCTGCCTCGCCGCCGACGCAGAAAGTTCTCGGGCGGGGCTAGGGCGAAGAGAAACCCGCTCCAGAGTTTCCCGGAAGGACCTCAGAGAGTGTCGGAGCGCTCTGAGAAGGCCGCGGCGCCCGAGTTATCCTCAGAAGCCGCCGGATCTCAGAGATTCTCGTCACGATGCTTTCTCACCTGAAGTTGTCCTCGTGCTGGCTTCGTCTTATGCTCAGGGTGGCACGAGGAGGTGGGGGAGGATGAGCCGAGCATTTTCTCTGGGTGGAGGGCAGAGGGTGAAATCTGAAATGCCGCCTCGCCCAAAGCATGGCCACCCGTGAACTTCCCTCCCCGTCTCTCCCGTCCTTTCCTTCTCCGCATCCTGCTTCCCCGTTTCCGCCTCCACCCCCATCGTTGCCTCTGCCTTCTCCTGCGCCTCTTCCTCCAAGGTTTATATTCCTTTCCTCTGCCTCTCCCCCCCCCGCCCCACGAATCGCTAATGGCAGCGGGGGGGTGGCGCATCACTTTTCTGGAATCCATGTGCACTCGGCCCTTGACCAAGCCCACGCCGTCGCCGACACCTCAATTAGAGTCGCCCTCTCTGTCGGGCCGTTGTCCACCATGTCGCCCAGCTGGAGCGCGATGGCTCTGCAAAAGTGCGCGCGCTTTCCTCCGAAGCCCGCTCCGGGCCGGAGCGGGCCCGCTGTTCGGGGCCGCTGCCGCCGCCACGCGATGGGCCCCCGAATCCCGACCCCCGCCGTTTTTCCAAAGCGTTTCCTGCCAAACGGCCGGAGGCGGTTTTAGAAAAGTAAAACGAATTCTAGAACGCAAAACGAGGTTCTAGAACCGCAAAGCGAATTCTAGAGCAGCAAAAGTAGTTCTAGAAGGCAAAACCAAATTCTAGAATGTCACGTTGTATAACGCATAAGCAACACCAAAAACATCTAGAACGGCCAACAAAAATCTAGAACGACGAAGTGAAGTCTAGAACACAAGAAACGATTCTAGAATTCTGGATTGACCGATCGGGCGCCAGTCGCGTGCTCGTTCACCCGTCGGGTGCCAGTCGCGTGCTCGTGCACCTGCCGCACGTTAGTCGCGTGCCCCTTCACCTGTCTGGTCCCAGTCGCGTGCTCAGGGGCCCGGAGAGTCAGCCAGCCGCCCAGCCAGCCGTCCATCCAACCATCCAGCCCAACAGTCAACCCGCCAGTCAAACAACCAGCGAGCCAAACAACCACTAGCGAACCGCCGGGCAACAGAGGGAAACGCATGCTTGCACATGTCAGGAGAGTTCGCGCCCGCTTGCCATTCGCAGATGCGCTGAGCGTTGATCCGTCGAGGCACGAACAACCCGTGGGTGACATCGGCGGGGCGGCAAAGCCTTGTTTGAGCTATTGCCGGGTGCGAGCCATCAACAGTGCCTGACCACGCGCGGGCGCAATCGTGGCGTCGTAGCGAAGCCAGGCGCTGTATGTACACAGGCCGCTACACAACGAAATCTTCACCCTGAAAGCCACCCGCCCACAAGACGGATTGATTTCCGAGGTGCAGAAACTATGTGGATTTCACCCTCAGCCCTGCACCCTAAGAGAATGTTCAGATGAGGGGGCGAGGAGAAGACGACGAGGAGGATGAGGAAGAAGGAGAGGAAGAGGGGGAGAAAGGGGAAGACGAGAAAGAGGAGCACGACGAGGAGGAGGGAGGCCGCGCCCCTGCCCGGGGGCCTGCTCGAATCGTCGGTGGTGCTGCCATCCCTGCCCGCTCGCGCCGGGTCCCGCGCGCGATTCGCGAAGGGGAGAGAGGGGTTCAACCTCCAGCCAGGAGCGAGGAAGGGGAGGAGGGGGAGGGGGAGGAGGAGGAGGAGGAGGAGGAGGAGAAGACGGAAGGAGGAGGAGAAGAATGAGGATATTGAGATATGAGATGATGATGATGATGAGTGAGAGGAGGAGGAGGAGGAGGAGGAGGAGAGGAGAGGAGGCGGAGGAGGAGGAGAGGCGCGTGGGGGGACGAGCAGGGGGAGGAGCAGGGGACGAACAGGGGGGGTGTGGAGGGGCGGGAGGAGGAGGAGGAGAGGGAGGAGGAGTAGTAGAAGGCGGAGCGGGGAGAAAAAAGGATAATGATGGACGGGGGGGTGTTATGATGATGCTGATGATGATGATGATGAGTGATATGATGAGATGATGATGATGATGATGATGGTGATGGGATGATGATGATGATGAGATGATGATGATGATGATGATGATGATGATGAGATGATGATGATGATGAATGATGATGATGATGATTATGATGATGATGATGATGAATGATGATGATGTGAATGATGATGATGATGATGATGATGATGATGATGAGATGAATGATGGGATGAGGATGATGCTGGGATGATGATGATGATGATGATGGATATGATGATGATGATGAGATGATGATGATGATGATGATGATGATGATGATGATGATGATGATGATGATGATGATGATGAGGCTTGATGATGATGAGATGATGATGATGAGATGATGATGATGATGATGATTATGATGATGAGATATGATGATGACGAGGAGGAGAGGAGAGGATGAAGGAAGGAGGAGGAGAGCCAGGGGACGAGCAGGGGAGGATCAAGGGGGGACGAACAGGGGGGGGAGGAGGAGGAGGAGGAGGAGGAGGAGGGGAGGAGGAGGAGGAGGGAGGAGGAAAGGGAGAGGAGGAGGAGGAGGAGGAGGAGAGGAGATGACTGTATGCTCTGGTTTCGAGTGCCCGCACCAGCTGAGGTGGCTTTGTCCCTTCTTCGCCTTCTTCCTTTCCGCTCTTCTTCCCTCCCCATCCCCTTTTCTCCAGGACAGGCAGCAGGCACCCACATGCCTTCAGAGTCGAGACGAGTCGAGTCGAGGAGGAGGGCGCATGTGAAGGATTAACTTAATGAAGGTTTGAGCTATCTTCGCCTCGTGCTCTGTGCTCGTTGACTCGCATTGCCGCTGTCGCTGAGGAGGATGGAAGAAGAAGAAGGGTGTGGTGTGAGCAGGAGCAGGACGAGGAGGAGGAGGAGGAGGAGGAGGAGGAAGAGGAGAGGGAGGAGGAGGAGCAGGAGGAGGACAAGAGTACACCCAGGATGCATCGACGATGCTGCAATACACCTTCCCGTCCATGGTCCCATCAGAAGACGCTGTATATCTACTTGTTCACTGCAGGGCAGCCCCCCCTGGAAAGACGAGCACCCTGTGGACCTGCCGATGAGGCGAGGGCCCCATTTTGAACATCAATTGCTCAGACTTTGGAGCGAGTGAGAAGGCATGCGAAACATGGTAGGGTCAGATAACTCAGCGAGGTGTCCAGCCAGAGACCCGGTTTCAAGCAGGACCACCTCTCGTCGGGAAGGTGTTGCGCACGCTGGCACTCCTGGTCGGCAGTCTCAGGCGAGTCACCTTTTGGGTTCGGAAGCGCCCTCCACCCGTGCGGCTGCTGCCCAGGTCGAGGA